CAGAGCAGCGTCCAATCACAGCTCCCCTGTGGCCCGTGCTGAGCTGTGATTGGTGCGTTTGAACGTTTCCCTGTGGAAATTAGTTTGTTTTTGTTTGATTTTAATGTTTTTTTCATACGAGCAAAAGAAAAGACGAACAAGAGGCTCGAGTCGAGACACAAATATACAGGAAAAGATTAGATAAAACTGTTAAATATATAAATATAAATATATATATTTATTTATTTATTTATTTATTTATATATAGAGCTGAGGGTTTTCTGTTACTTTCAGTTTTATAAGTCGGGCCACAGAATTTAGTTTCATACGTTTCAGAGAATAACAGAAATAGTTCTTTATGAAAAACACTGAAGTTTGGTCGACTCTAAAAAAATCTATTTTTGTGAACAAAAGTTTCCCTAAAATGATTTTGGAGTTAATATTTAAATCATTATTAACATTATTTACAATGAAGCCAAACACAACATTTTTCTATAAAATATTCAGAACATTTTCCCGCAGTTACGAGTGCGTCGGAGCGAAACAGGTCAGTGGGTCGATCCGCGCGGACTGAGCGCGTGCAGAAGCGGAGCGGACTGAGCGCGTGCAGAAGCGGAGCGGACTGAGCGCGTGCAGAAGCGGAGCGGACTGAGCGCGTGCAGAAGCGGAGCGGACTGAGCGCGTGCAGAAGAATCTCAGACATGCAGCGTGGAGGAAGTGGAATGTATAATTTAAAACAGAACATCGTCATTTTACAGGCAGACTCTGTCCTCTGGTTCAGTCCTGGTTTAGTCCTGGTGTAGTTCTAGTTTAGACCTGGTTTAGACCTGGTTCAGACCTGGTTTAGTTCTTGTTCAGACCTGGTTTAGTCCTTGTTTAGTTCTGGTTTAGACCTGGTTTAGTCCTGGTTTAGTTCTGGTTCATCTTCTCCCTCCTGCTTCAGACTCATATGTCTTTTATTTTGTGGCCCCATAAAACCTGTGTGTGGCTTATTCACTCTGGAAGGATCTAAACCAGGACTAAAGCAGGTCTAAACCAGGTCCAGGTTCGTGTTTCAGGGTTTTGGGTTCAGGGGAAGTGGAACAGAAGAACAGAAGAACACATTTGTTTTGCCTCTGGACGTGTTCGTGGCTTCAGCTCCTGTTTCAGAAGCTGCGCACGAGACGGATCTTCTATTGTCCCCCTCCTCAGACCTGGTTCAGACCTGGTTCAGACCTGGTTCAGACCTGGTTCAGACCTGGTTCAGACCTGGGTCAGACCTGGGTCAGACCTGGGTCAGACCTGGTTCAGACCTGGGTCAGACCTGGTTCTGTTCTTTATAATCATAATAATAGGACTTCTGATATTTCCGGAGCTTTTGAAATCGTCCGTGAGCTCATCGAAGCCGTCGCTCTGCAGAGGTTTGTGTTTCAGACGAAGCTTTGGGCCGTTTCCCGAGCAGAGCTGAGGTTTCAGACTCTCTGAGGTTTCAGACTCTGAGGTTTCAGACTCTCTGAGGTTTCAGACTCTCTGAGGTTTCAGACTCGGTGAGGTCAGTGGACGCGGCGTGTTTCACCTGAGGGCCAAACCCGACGCCGCCGCGGCGCTCGCTCCCGTTGGCTCTCGGTGACGTAACGCTCTGTCCTAATTGACTCGCGGTGATGTTACGGTGATGTCACACGAAAGCGCTTTTCTGTTTGAGCCAAAACGGTCACATGACCCCTGACCCCCGAGGGCCCGGAGCTCGAACACCGGACCCCGGAATGATGTCATCTCCAACTGAAACGTCAGACGCCCGATCAGCTTCAAGACGGAAAAACACTGACAGTTTATTACAGGAAAGATTCACTCAACGTCCCACAATCCTCTGCTCTAATGTAGTTTATACAAAGACTCAACGTCCCACAATCCTCTGCTCTAATGTAGTTTATACAAAGACTCAACGTCCCACAATCCTCTGCTCTAATGTAGTTTATACAAAGACTCAACGTCCCACAATCCTCTGCTCTAATGTAGTTTATACAAAGACTCAACGTCCCATAATCCTCTGCTCTGTTTTAATTTAATTTATACTGAGACTAAATTTCCCACAATCCTCTGTTTTAATGTAGTTTATATAAAAACTCAATGTCCCATAATCCTCTGCTCTCTGATAATCCTCCAGATGGGTTCAGACCTGGGCCCTGTTCAGATCTGGGTTAGTCCTGGTTCAAACGTGGGTTAGACCTGGTTTAGTCCAGGTTTAGTCCAGGTTTAGTCCAGGTTTAGTCCAGGTTTAGTCCAGGTTTGGTCCAGGTTTAGTCCTGGTCTTGAGGTTTTTGGGAGAACTGTTTATAAAAGTGTGAACGGACAAAGTGAGTCACCGCTCGGAGAGAACGACAGAAGAGAAGAAGAGACGGAGGAGGAGAAAGAGAGAAGGAGAAGAGGAGAGGAAGTCTGCACACACACACAGTTCTTAAAGTGGCACTTGGCTCAGAGTGTGTGTGTGTGTGTGTACAGTGTGTGTGTGTGTGTACAGTTGTGTGTGTGTGTGTGTACAGTT